GCTAAAATACAACTTTTTCTGAAAGCTTAGAGACCTGTAATATTCAAATCACCCTGGGATAGATGCACCTAATTCAACAGGTTTCCTGTTGTTCCATACCTAACCATTTATTCGGAACACTTTTGGTTCAAGGCATTTTATTTAGGGTCTATAGATATGTGTTTGGGAGATTTTTACATATGAAATTTATTGATCACTAAATTACAACATTTTCATGTTAGAGACACGGTACCAAAAGAAAAGGACAACCTTTTTTATAATTTAACTTCTTTGCCTGTAATATGACAGACTTGGCTTAAGTTACGGTCAAATTTTAAAATTTATGAAAATATACTTCTCTTGATGGTTATAGAAAGCATTATCCCAGAATCCACAAAGAGTGGCTTTGCCCAAATGAATTTGGAGGATGATTGGAAATTATGGAAGCTTACTTACTAGGGAAGGAAGTTTTTAAAAAATCATTAAAATGAGAAATGAAAAGACTTCATTTATCAATACTTTGTTGGCTTGCTTAACTTGCATTTATATTTGAAATAAAAATTACTCATTTTATGTTATTAGATACACAAATCCATCTTACATTTAGTGTTCATTTGTGTTAGTTTTTCATATCTTATAACGTGGCTATATTGCATTTTTTACGTTTGTTCTATATGGTGCATGAATTCACTCACAGTCTCTCTCTCCCTTTAGTTCTTTTCTACGGTTTCAACACAGGATTCTTTCACCTATTCGTTCTATATGAGTACTTTTCACGTCCAAATTATTCACTCCTTTTCTATCTCTGTGCTTTAGTGTTCACAGCCTTTGAAGACAGATGTGACTCTGCTGTACAAACTTGGATCATTAGCTTTTAAAAATGTTTTCTCTTTCTTTCCAAAATAATATACACCTTGGTTTAAAACGATGTAAATAAAGGCAATGGATGTGAATTGCCACACATGAAATTCCATTATTTATCCAGGAAGGCTGTCATGTTCAACTCAGGTTAAGGTAAAAGAGAAGTGTTTGGATTTCATGTGTGCTGAATTTATTTTTTGATGTTAGGGGTATTTGTTGGTCAGATATTTCTTAAAATTTCAAAATTAGATTTATCTCTTAACAAAGACAAATTGTTTTATGTTTTAATAGTATTTTAAAGTGGTTTTGAATTCTTTAGCCTCATCGTGTGATCCCACATTTATCCTGGGTTGTGCACCCTGCAATGTGATCTGCTCCATCATTTTCCAGAGTCGTTTTGATTACAAAGATCAGAATTTTCTTACCTTGATGGAGAGGTTCAATAAAAACTTCAAGATAGTAAGCTCCCCATGGATTCAGGTGAGTCTATGATTTCTTCTTCCTGAGAAACCACTTATGCTCTTTTCTCTGACAAATCCTAAATTCTATATGGACCGAGCTGTTGGGTGTATGTTTGAATACCTCTGTCCTTCCCAGAGATTTATGAAGTGACCGTCTGGGATAGACTGTTGAGCCCTTTGTTTTACACACAGGAAGTGAATGCCAAAATGTAGGGCTGGATTTCAAGCCCATTAGCTCCATGACCAGTGGCTTTTCTACTCACCCGCAAAGCCCCATTTCTATAAGGTACTTGGGTGACAGCCCAAAATATGCCTGTATTATTCGATGCACATCCAGGCCCTTTTTGAAGACTTCCATTACCCGCATGACTGGTCCTCAACACTTAGAGACTTCTTCATAGTGTTACTTGGCAAAAGTCTCCTAATTTAAGAAGAGAATATCTCCTGAAAGGACTGCAACTATTTGGGACCATAGAAGCTGTCAGGAAACACTGCCTAATGCACGGGTGTTTGATGCCTCAGATGGGAGCCTAGTTGACAAGTTAACTGGGTTAAGAATGACAAAATGGATGGTTTTATGGTGTATGAACCAGAAGTAATCATCGCAATGTTACCCTGTCCTCAATTGGCACGATGTACACTCTGCCTAAAGAATAATTGTTTGGTCTTACAGATGTTATTGAACTACTCTGATGTATTGTTGGCTTTCAAGATACTTTTGAGAACCACCCCTCCTTTAACATGCTGATTCTGTTTCTGAGGCTGCTTTAAAGAAAGAAAAACAGCAAGGGCTGGTTTTTCCCGTCGAAATCAGCTTGCCCAAACTCCCTTAACCTATGCTGTCATCTACAAAATTGGAATGCTAATAATGCATTCCGTGTTATCTTACAAGGTTGTAGGGAAGAATAGGTGTGAAAATTGAGAGAATTAATGAAAAAGTGTTTAATGCAATAAAGATGATATATGAGTCTAGGAAATGATTAATATATTTGATTCTCAGGTCAGAATTTTCTCCTTCAAATCTTTTTATAAACATAGAGGATTACTATATATGCACAACAAAAATTTCTTTGTCAATATGGACACCATGTCTTATTCATAGTTATACCTATAATTTCTTAGCACGGCTTGGTATA